ATAAACTCCAGCAACTACAACTCCCAAATGCCAAGCCTATTTTCCCTACACTCCACCAAAGTTCACATTTGGACATATTGATTTTCATGCCAAGTTTGGTCCAGATCCATCATTGTTTGAGTCCACAGTGCTCTCTGGATGTAGGTGAACTACAACTCCAAAACTCAAGGTCAATGCCCACCAAACCTTTTCAGTATTTTCTGTTGGTCATGGGAGTTCTGTGTGCCAAGTTTGGTTCAATTCCATCATTGGTGGAGTTCAGAATGCTCTTTGATTGTAGGTGAACTATAAATCCCAGCAACTACAACTCCCAAATGATGGAATCAATCCCCCCAATCCCACCAGTATTCGAATTTGGGCGTATCGGGTCTTTGTGCCAAATTTGGTCCAGTGAATGAAAATACATTCTGCATAACAGTAGCAAAATTACAGTTGTGAAGTAGCAATGAAAATAATGTTATGGTTGGGGGTCACCACCACATGAGGAACTCTATTAAGGGGTCGTGGCACTTGGGAGGGAATGAGGAATAGAGCATGGGAGCATACACATGTAGGGTTGAAGGGGAACTCATGCCAGCCAGCCCCCCCCCCCCCATTCATAAAAACAGGAGAGACAGGGGATTATGGGATCATTCTCGCCTGATGCCCTTGGCAAAACTATGAATTCCCTGATTCTGAATTATCTTTTACAGAGCCCTGGGGGGGGGGGTCACCTCCGATTACAGTTAGACCTCTTCAGCTGGAATACTGTCTCCAATTCTGGGTATCGCAGTTTAAAAGAGATATTGACAAACTTGAAGGTCTCCAAAGGAAGTGACTAAAAGGATCAAAGGTCTAGGGATCGTAAATAATCCCTCTGAAAAGCATCTTGAAGAACTGGGTTTGTTGAGCCTGCAGAAGAGAAGGTTGAGAGGAGACATAAAAAGAGCCATGTATAAATATGTGCAAGGCTGTCATAAGGAAGAGCGGGCAGCTTTGTTTTTCTGCTGCCCTTGAAACTAGAACTAGGAGCCATGGGTTCAAATGACAAGAAAGGAGATTCCACCTGAACATTAGAAACAACTTCCTGACCATATGAGCTGTTCAACAGTGGAACTCTCTGCCTCAGAGTGCGGAGGAAGCTTCTTCCTTGGAAAAGGATTTCCCCCTGGCATTAAGTCCAGTTGTGTCCGACTTGAGGTGATGGTGCTCATCTCCATTTCTAAGCTGAAGAGTCGGCGTTGTCCATAAACACCTCCAAGGTCATTGGCATAATCTCATGGAGCACCATTACCTTTTAGCCAAGGCGGTACCTATTGATCTACTCACATTTGCATGTTTTTGAACTGCTAGCTAGGCAGAAGCTGGGCCTAACAGTGGGAGCTCACCCCACTCCCTGAATTCGAACCTGCGATGTTTCAGTAAGTAAGTTCAGCTGCTCAGCAGTTTAACCCAATGTGCCACAGGGGGCTCCAAATTCTACGAGGGTTGAATGAAAAGTAATGCCTCCACCTTCGTAACTCCTCAACAGATGGCAGTACTGATATGCGGCAGGTACTGGCTTGTTCAGTAGACTCTCCTCTACAGTTCCATTTTGGCGGGAAGCTTTAGCATTGAACAGTTGTGTTGTTAAAGTGCAAAGTATGGAACCCTGCACAGATGGTCGGTCAATGCGACTTAAGCAACGTGCAGTCATTGAATTCTTGACCACAGAAGGTGTCACCCCAAAGGAGATTCATCAGAGAATGCAAGCTGTTTATGGTGATTTTGTTGATGTGAGTACTGTGCGTTGTTGGGTGAGTAAGTTTAAAGATGTTGAGGTGGGAACATCTGACTTGCGTGACAAAGATTTGGATGTCCTGTGACAGCAACCACCGAGTTTCACAAGCAAAAGGTTGACAGATTGATTTAGGACAATCGTCATATCACTCAGAGAGAAATTTCAAGCATAATCGGCATTCCACAAGAACATGTGGGTCATATTATTGCTTTGTTTGGCTATCGGAAGATCTGTGCACGATGGGTACCCAGGATGAGAGAACTGTGAGATGCTGGTTGTGGAAACAGAGTGTCAACTTCTTCCATGACGGCTTCAGAAAACATGTTCATCGTTGGCAGAAATGTATCCAATTGTCTGGTGATTACGTGGAAAAGTGAATAATGGTAGTTAAAGAGCACATTCTCAGGATTATTTCTGTGTTTGATTTATTGAAATATTCCCATGTGAACCCAAGTAACGAAGGTGGAGGCATTACTTTTCATTCAACTCTTATACAAGCACACATTAAAATGTGCGGGGCAAGGCACACTTTCTCAGCCTTGGCCATTGCCAAGAAAACACTAGGACAGGATTGCCACAATCTGTAGTCAACGAGAAGATACATGACAAGAGCAACACTGTTGCTTAGAAGTCCTTTGAAGATTAGAGAGATGATTGGCCAAAACTAACAAAATGAAGTTCAAAAGTGACAAATGCAAGATACTCCACTTAGGCAGAAAAAAATGAAATGCAGAAATACAGAATGGGGGACAATGCCTGGCTCGAGAGCAGTATGTGTGAAAAAGATGTTAGAGTCCTCGTGGACAAGTTAAACATGAGCCAACAATGTGATGTGGCAGCAAAAAAAGCCAATGGGATTTTGGCCTGCATCAATAGGAGCATAGTGCCTAGATCCAGAGAAGTCATGCTCCCCATGCTCTATTCCACTTTGGTTCGACCACACCTGAAATATTGTGTCCAATTCTGGGCACCACAATTGTAGAGAGATATTGACAAGCTGGAATGTGTCCAGAGGAGGGCGACTAAAATGATCAAGGGTCTGGAGAACAAGCCCTATGAGGAGCGGCTTAAAGAGCTGGGCATGTTTAGCCCGAAGAAGAGAAGGCTGAGAGGAGATATCATGAGGGCCATGTATAAATACGTGAGAGGAAGTCATAGGAAGAAGGGAGCGAACTTGTTTTGTGCTGCTCTGGAGACTAGGATGCAGAACAATGGCTTCAAACTATAAGAAAGGAGATTCCACCTAAACACTAGGAAGAACTTCCTGACTGTGAGAGAGTTCCTCTGCCCTGGAGTGTGGTGGAGGCTCCGTCTTTGGAAACTTTTAAACAGAGGCTGGATGGCCATCTGTTGGGGGTGCTTTGAATGCAATTTTCCTACTTCTTGGCAGGGAGTTGGACTGGTTGGCCCATGAAGTCTCTTCCAACTCTAGGATTCTATGTAAAACGCCTTGGATTGGAAATGTGATGCTTTCCTCTTCACCACATCTGAGGACAGGTTAATCCAGGGGTCCTCAAACTAAGGCCCGAGGGCCGGATACGGCCCTCCAAGGTCATTTACCCGGCCCTCGCTCAGGGTCAACCTAAGTCTGAAACGACTTGAAAGCACACAACAACAACAATCCTATCTCGTCAGCCAAAAGCAGGCCCACACTTCCCACTGAAATACTAATAAGTTTATATTTGTTAAAATTGTTCTTAATTTTAATTATTGTATTGTTTTAAGTGTTTTTTTGAACTACAAATAAGATATGTGCAGTGTGCATAGGAATTCATTCATATATTTTTTCAAATTATAATCAGGCCCTCCAACAGTTTGAGGGACTGTGACCTGGCCCTCTGTTTAAAAAGTTTGAAGACCCCTGGGTTAATCTATACCTGTTGATTTTTTCCCCCTATTCCAATACACAGATGAAGAAGAAAAAGGTTTGTAAAGTTCGTTTATTTTTATTTCCAAGAGATGTTTGGAGTATCGGCGTGTGTTTATTCCATCCATTGTTCCATTCACCACAAACCAGTGGAAGTAATGCTTCCCCTCTATTCCATTTTGGTTAGACCACACCTGGAATATTGTGTCCAATTCTGGGCACCACAATTCAAGAGAGATAATGACAAGCTGGAATGTGTCCAGAGGAGGGCGACTCAAATGATCAAGGGTCTGGAGAACAAGCCCTATGAGGAGCGGCTTAAGGAGCTGGGCATGTTTAGCCTGAAGAAGAGAAGGATGAGAGGGGATATGATAGCCATGTATGTGAGAGGAAGCCACAGGGAGGAGGGAGCAAGTTTATTTTCTGCTTCCTTGGAGACTAGGACACGAAACAATGGCTTCAAACTACAAGAGAGGAGATTCCATCTGAACATGAGGAAGAACTTCCTGACTGTGAGAGCTGTTCAGCTGTGGAACTCTCTGCCCCGGAGTGTGGTGGAGGCTCTTTCTTTGGAAGCTTTTAAACAGAGGCTGGATGGCCATCTGTCAGGGGTGCTTTGAATGCAATTTTCTTGCTTCTTTGCAGAATGGGGTTGGACTGGATGGCCCACGAGGTCTCTTCCAACTCTGGGATTCTATGATTCTATGAAGATGTCAAATGCCTTGGATTGGAAAAGCGATGCTTTCCTCATCACAACATCTGAGGACAGGTTAATCTATACCTGTTGGGTTTTTCCCCCCTATCCCAATACACAGAGGAAATTCCATCTGAAGATGAGGAAGAACTTCCTGACTGTGAGAGCCGTTCAGCAGTGGAACTCTCTGCCCCAGAGTGTGGTGGAGGCTCCTTCTTTGGAAGCTTTTAAGCAGAGGCTGGATGGCCATCTGTCAGGGGTGATTTGAATGCAATATTCCTGCTTCTTGGCAGAATAGGGTTGGACTGGATGGCCCACGAGATCTCTTCCAACTCCATAATTCTATGAAGATGTCAAACGTCTTGGATTGGAAAAGCGATGCTTTCCTCCTCACCACATCTGAGGACAGGTTAATCTATACCTGTTGATTTCTTTTCCCTATTCCAATATACAGATGAAGAAGTAAAAAGTTTGTAAAGTGCCTTTATTTTTATTTTCAAGAGATGTTTGGAGTTTCGGCGTGTGTTTTGCCCATCTATCGTTCCTTTCCCCACAAACCAGTGGAGCTCTTCCACTGACAAACTTTTTGGCATGAATTCCAACACTTTCCTCGCAATTTCTCTTTGTTTTTTGCTTTTTCAAAAAGCGTTCCTGTTTCTTTAAATGGACACAGGACTTCATCTTCAGGTGGAGTCAGTTCTTGCTGGTTATAAATTTGCTGGGAGGAGGGAAAGCAGCTGTTTTGCTGGAATCTTAACACAAGCAGGACAGAATCATTATGGTAAGGCTATAACACTCTGTGTGTGTGCGTCTGTCCCCTTTTTCTCTTGTGCAGATTTCAAAGCTAATGTGTGGCATTGATTTCCTCCTTCCTCCAAATGTGTGTGTGTTCTGGATACTTTGGAACTGATAACTTTTCTGGGCAACTTATTGATGAGCACTTTGGTGCATTGGACTGGTCTTTGCTCCTTATAAGGTAAAGGCAAGGCAACCGCCTGCAAAAGGACTCTTGGGAAGAGGGTCTTTCTCCCACATTTCTCTATTTATTTGTTCCCCACCCATTGCTTGGAGATGGTCTCCTTGCAGAGTTGCAGATCTGGTTTCTGACAGCTGAGATCTTGGGTTTTCAGGGGCGAAAATGTGCTCTGAATCCCCTTTCCTTCCCCCAACTCCACCTCTTTGGGTCTCTCTCTTTTTTCCCTCTCCTGCCCTTTAGCCTACATTATTCCGCTCTCCAGATAGGAACCCAGAGAGGTGGGAGTTGGCTGTACTTGTGTGCATTGCCCACCCAACCCCTTTTCCTTCCCCATCTAAGAGGAAACTGCCATATTGCCTTTGTCTCCTGGAATCCCCTGGGTTGATATGCTGAGAGAATTAGAGAAGCATTTGTTCGTTCCGTACCCAAATATCCTTTTGGGTAAACATCGCAGGAAGTTGCGAGCCAGAAGGCGCTTAGCTCAAACTTCTGGGAAACTTTCCAGTGTTTTGCATTTATGTTAATGAACTTAATGAGTCTAATTATTGAAGGGGGTGGGACAGGGAAAAATCCAAAAAATGTATTCCTTCCATGCAAAGCACTTTCTAATATTGCTTTTCTGTTTGCTCGCTCATGAAAAGGCCCAGCAAGGAAGTTAGTGGGTCCTGGCGTCTGTTTTTGTGACTTTTTGAACTCTATGCAAAATGTTGGATGCAAAGATCCATTGTTCCCTGTTATCAGTTGCATGGAAAATCAGCCCCGGTTTTGTCTGGCAAAAACTAGGCAGGAACGGCTTGTCTTTTCTGAAGAACCAATGACAGGTTTTTGGAGAGCTGGCAAATTGTGAGCAGGACAACTGACCCAAGCGGGGAATCTTTGGCCATTCCAATGTGGCTCCCCGCCCCGTCCGTCTGACACATAAACGCGCTTGCAGAAATACCAATCGTGCTGCTACAAGAAGCAGGTGGCACGGCACTTGGCAAGCTTTGCGGCGCATTGGGCAATGGACTGAGTCCTGGCCCTGCCGTGAGGAATGTCTTCTTCTGGGCGGTGGTGCAAAACAAGGGCCAGAAGATGGACAGCGCAAGTACTTTGACATGTCAAGGTGGGAATGGAGGGGAGAAGAGCCCAAAGCCTCCACTTCTTCATCTTGGAGAGAAGTAACCAGTGGGCCATTCCTGGGCCCAGGGCTACTCAACATGTTTATCATAGAATCAGAGCCCCTATTTTTGGGTTGGTTTTTTTTCCGTGTCAGAAGCGACTTGAGAAACTGCAAGTTGCTTCTGGTGTGAGAGAATTCGCCGTCTGCAAGGACGTGGCCCAGGGGATGCCCAAATGTTTTTGATGTTTTACCATCCTTGTGGGAGGCTTCTCTCATGTCCCCGCGTGGGGAGCTGGAGCTGACAGAGGGAGCTCAACCGCACTCTTCCCGGATTCGAACCTGCGACCTGTCAATCTTCAGTCCTGCCGGCACAAGGGTTCAATCCATTGCACCACAAACGGGACTTCTGACTGAAAGGTTGGCGGTTCAAATCTGGCAAGTGAGGTGAGCTCCTGTCTGTCAGCTCCAGCTTCTCATGCAGGGACATGAGAGAAGCTTTCCACAGGATGGTAACATATCTGGGGGTCCTCTTGGCAACGTCCTTGCAGATGACCAATTCTTTTACACCAGAAGTGACTTGCAGTTTCTCAAGTCACTCTCCTGCCACGGAAAAAAAATAATAGAATCATAGAGTTGGAAGAGACCACATGGACCATCTAGTCCAACCCCGTTCCTCTATGCAGGAAAAGCCCAACCAAAGCTCCCCTGACAGATGGCCATCCAGCCTCTGTTTAAAAGTTTCCAAGGAAGGAGCTTTGACCAAACCCCGAGGCAGAGTTCCACTGCTGAACAGCTCTTCTTATTGTCAGGTCCCATTTACAAACTTGATCAGCAGGCCCTCTAAACCTTCATCCAAGTCATGAATAAAGATGATGAACAGCACTGGGCCCAGAACCGAACCCTCATTATGGCACCCAAATAGTCACTTCTTTCCAAGATGAAGAGGAATCATTGGGGAGAATCACCCTTTGGGTTTGGTCACTTAACCAATTCCAGATCCACCTAAAAATAGCACTGCCTAGCAAATATTTGACTAGTTTACTTGCAAGATCATGGGTGACTTTGTCGAAGGCCTTCCTGGAATCAAGATATACTCCATCCACAGCATTCCCTGCATCTACCAAGCTTGTAACTCTATTGAGAAAAGAGATAAGATGAGCCTGGCATTACTTGGTTTTTCAGAATCCATGTTGACAGAAGATCATGGGGGACCTTGTTGAAGGCCTTACTGAAATCAAGATATACTCCATCCACAGCATTCCCTGCATCTACCAAACTTGTAACTCTATCCGAAAAAGAGATAAGATGAGCCTGGCATGAGAAATCCATGTCGACAGGAGACCATGGGGGTCCTTGTTGAAGACCTTCCTGAAGATATGCTCCATCCATAGGATCAAGATATACTCCATCCATAGGATTCCCCGCATCTACCAAACTTATAACTGCGGGGGTGAGAAAAGCGGGGTAGAAAATGATGTAAATAATTTACAACTCTATGAGTCCTGCATGAGAAATCCATGTTGACAGAAGACCATGGGAGACCTTGTTGAAGATATGCTCCATCCATAGGATCAAGATATACTCCATCCACAGCATTCCCTGCATCTACCAAACTTATAACTGCGGGGGTGAGAAGAGTGGGGTAGAAATGATGTAAATAAATTATAACTCTATCGAAAAAAGAGATAAGATGAGCCTGGCATGATTTGTTTTTGAGGAATCCATGCTGATTAATTGATCATTCCTTTCTAAATGATGACTTGGGTGGTGGAATAGAAAGCATGCTGATCAGATTTGCACCTGATATCCAATTGGGGAGGGAGAACTAACACCCCTGAGGACAGGATCAGGAGCCAAAGGACCTTAACAGCAATAGTTGAAGCCAAATGGTATTTACTTATATGTTGTCTTCATTCTGGAGAGAATATTCTAGCCTAAGTGTTTTGTACTTCAACTCCCACCATTCCTAACAGCCCCAGGCCCTTTCCTTTTCTCCCTTAGTTGCTTAAGCTGAGTGCTGGGCCCATAACCAATGTAAAGCAGAGTGCTGGGCCCATAAGTTAACACTTAAGCGGCTGAGGGGGAAAAGGAAGGGCCTGAAGCTGTTAGGAATTGTGGGAGTTGAAGTCCAAAACACCTGGAAGGTCAAGGTTTGCCCATGCCTAATCTAAGGTCAACAGTATGGGTTAACAGTATGATGGAGCAGCTAAAAAACCCAATGGGATTCTAGGTTGTATCAATAGGAGTATAGTGTCCAGTTCAAGGAAAGTGCTCGTCCCACACTATTTTGCTTTTGGTCAGTCCTCACTTGGAATAACCTCGCGTCCAGTTCTGGGCAACACAATTCAAGAAGTGATGGACAGGTTGGAACACGTCCAAAGAAAGGCCAAAGACCTGAAAACTATTAATCTCTCTGAAGAGAAGCTTTGGGAGCTGGAGATGTCTACCATGGGGAAGATGATGCTGAGATGGGACATGGCAGCCATGTGTAAATATTGGAAGGGATGTCCCATTGGGAACACGGCAGTCTTACTTTCTGCTTCTCCAAAGACTACGACTTGCAGCAATGGAGTCAAATGGCAGGAAAAGAAATTCCATCTGCACATTAGGAAGAACTTTCCTGGTGTTAAGAACTGTTCAATAGCAGGATACAATGCCTCAGAGTTTGGCGGAGCCTTCTTCACTGTAGGTTTTAGAAACGAGGTCAGATGGTCACCTGTCAGGAGGGCTTGGATTGTATATTCCTGTATGGTAAGGGGTTGGACGGGATGGCAGTTCATTTTATGAGGAGCAGGTCTTTTGTAAGGCTGAGGGGTCTTAATTGAACATTGCAATAAAGGCTTGTGAGGATATATATTATTGCTTGGAACATCCAATAGCACACTTGGTGCAATTTCAGCAGTACCTACCATAATAATCTATGACAACTGGATGCATCATGTTCAGTCATTTCCAAATTACGACAACCATAAGACAGTGGGTTGTTGTAGGTTTTTTCCGGGCTATATGGCCATGTTCTAGACCATAAGACAATCATATTAGGATTTTCTCATCCATATTTCTTTGGAGCAGTGGTTCTCAACCTGTGGGTCCCCAGATGTTTTGGCCTCCAACTCTCAGAAATCCTAACAGCTGGTAAACTGGCTGGAATTTCTGGGAGTTGTAGGCCAAAACACCTGGGGACCCACAGAGATGTTGCCATTGCTTTCTTCTGAGGCTGAGAGAGTGAGTGTATCTGTGAGTTTCCATGCACAAGTGAGGATTCAAACCCTGCTCTTCCAATGTCCTAGGCCAGTGTTTCTCAATGTGTGGGTTGGGAGCCTGGTGGGGGTGGGTGGGTCATGAAGGGGGTATGGAGGGATTGCCAAAGACAATCAGAAAACACAGTATTTTTTGTTGGTCATGGGGCTTCTGTGTGGGAAGTTTGGTTTCCCATCGTGGTCCCTGTGAATCGCACATAATGGTATTTCCTGCGCCTGCGAAGGCAGTTCAGAAAGAAAGCAATGAGTAGCGTACCAGAACCACAAAACAGAAACAAGAAGGTGTATGCCGTAGTGAAACAAAAACAGAAAATAAACACAGTCCAAAAAAGCTAGTCAAATAAAAATGAGAAAAAGATTCCCTAACTGCTGCGAGAGCGGCGGATGAAAGGAACTGAAGCAGTAGCCCCACCCACTGGCTATATATACACTCAAGGGGAGAATGGGCGGGGCTACTACTTAAAAGTGTCTAATAAGTTTTGTAGAAGATTCCTAACTACCTGCACAGGCGCAGGATATACCATATGTGCGAATTCACAGGTGACCACTTGGGAAACTACGGTTACAGGTAAGCAACCCATATTTCAATTCTATAATTGGTGGTGTTCAGAGTGCTCTTTGATTGTAGGTGATCTATAAATCCCAGTAACTACAATTCCCAGATGACAAAGTCTATTTTCCCAAACTCCACCAATGTTCACATTTGGGCATATTGAGTATCTTTGCCAAGTTTGGTCCAGATCCATCATTGTTTGAGTCCACAGTGCTCTCTGGATGTAGGTGAACTACAACTCCAAAACTCAAGGTCAATGCCCACCAAACCCTTCCAGTATTTTCTGTTGGTCATGGGAGTTCTGTGTGCCAAGTCTGGTTCGATTCCATCATTGGTGGTGGTCCGAATACTCTTTGATTGTAGGTGAACTATTACCTGTTACAAGCCTGGGCAAACTTGGGCCCTCCAGGTGTTTTGGACTTCAACTCCCACCATTCCTAGCAGCCTACCGGCTGCTAGGAATGGTGGGAGTTGAAGTCCAAAACACCTGGAGGGCCCAAGTTTGCCCAAGCCTGCTTTATAGCATAGAGCCATTCCCAAGAGTTACGTCAAAGTGTTGTAAAGCTGTTGTATCTAATGTGTTCTCCTCTTGGACTGTGTAAAACATCTTGCCATGTCCATAGCATCTCAGTTGGTTTGGCTGCTGGCTAAGCTGATGAGAGGATGTTGGGAGTTGTAGTCTTTCCAAGGTTCTGAACTTTTCCAGGCTGAGAACCTTGGAATCTCAGGAATAGATTCCCGGAATGAGTGACCGCTCCACTGATGCTGCATAGACAGCTGTTGCGTTCTTCCTCCTGAGTCACGGCTCACCACGTCTGCTGAGTTGTGGTGAGATGAAGGCCGGAGAAGTCTCTCTCGGGCCTCCTGCAGCCGCCTCTCGCTTGCATGAAACTGCGCTTGTGTCACGGTTGTGGTATCTCAACTATGCCAGGCAATTTAATGGGGTTTCCACCTGTTCCTGAGGGGAGTCTTCTCTCTCCGAGAAATTCTGGGCTCCGATCCAAAGCCTTTCGATGACTCACTCCTCTCAAGGAAGAGGTGAATTGGAGGCCTCCAAAGCAATTGACCAGAAATAACTTCAGGACAGGTGAGTGTCGGCGGGGCTTTTCATGCTGCAGAACGAATCTGAATCAAGAAACCATCCAGTCCAACCTCATTCTGCCAAGCAGGAAGACACCATCTGAACACTCCTGACAGATGGCTATTCCAGGTGAAGTCTGGCCAAAAGCAGAAGACCAGGACTAGGATTTTCCTTGGTCTGGATACTAGACTACTATGGATGCAGTCTAGAATCACATTGGCTTTTTAAGCTGCAGCATCACACTGTTGAGTCATGTTCAGCTTGTTGTCTATTATGACTTTGATACCTTTCACATAGAGTGTTTTCAAACCAGGTGTCATCCATTAATATATATACTAGCTATATCCACCACGTGGATACAGCTAGTATATCCAGGTACTCCGCTTCTCCGCTTCCCATCCAGATACTAGCAGGGCCAACCCTGCTTACCTTCCAGTGGCTGCAGGGTTTTTGTCATTATCTGCCATTAGGTTGTGTTGTCAAAGATAATCACTGGGTTGCTGTGAGTTTCTGGGCTGTATGGCCATTTCCCAGAAGCATTATCTCCTGACATTTTGCCCACATCTATAGGAACCTCACTTGCCTAGTTTCCAACAAACCTCACAACCTCTGAGGATGCCTGCCATAGATGTGGGCAAAATGTCAGGAGATAATGCTTCTGGGAAATGGCCATACAGCCCAGAAACTCACAGCAACCCAGTGATTATCTTTGACAACACAACCTAATGGCAGATAATGACAAAAACCCTGCAGCCACTGGAAGGTAAGCAGGGTTGGCCCTGCTAGTATCTGGATGGGAAGAGGCGGATGAGCTCCCTCTATCAGCTCCAGCTCCTCATGCGGGGACATGAGAGAAGCCTCCCACAAGGATGATGAAAAAACATCAAATCATCCAGGCGTCCCCTGGGCAACGTCCTTGCAGATGGCCAATTCTCTCACAACAGGAGCGACTCCTGACACGACAAAAACAAAAAAACAAAATCCACCACGTGTTGTTGTGGCCAACCTTCCCTCCGTCTTTCTCTCCTTCTTTCTTTCTTTCTCTCCTTCCTTCCTTCCTTCCTTCTCTTCCTTCCTTCCTTTCTTTTTCCTTTTCTTCTTTTTTCCTTTTCTCTATTTTTCTTTCCTTTTTTACTTATATACTTAATTCCTATTTGTTAATATTCCCTTAATTAAACAATTTGTTTCCTTACTTGAATTCTGAATGCACTGCAGCTAAAAAAAATTCTAGTTATTAGATAGTATACTAGTTACCAACACTCCTAGTCATACTCCCCAGTCTGGCCCTGGGCATGCGTATAAAAAGGTTCTAACATTAGTATTCAAGACAAGTAAGCCTAACCTATATTCAATTATTTCATTTTTATTTTACTCTTCATTAACCTTTCTACCTTTTCTCTTACGCTCACTTCCTTATTCATCAATTCTATAATGAATTCCTTCTAATTTAGTTCCCTGATTACACCAATATTTCTTACATTCCTCTTTCTCTTTTATTTCTAGTCTTTCCCTCCCTCCTTCTTTTTCTTTCCTTTTATTCCTTCCCTTCCCTTCCTTCTTCCTTCCTTCCTTTCTTCTTCCTTCTTTCCTTTATTTTTCTTTTCTTTCTTTCTTTCTTCTTCCTTCTTCTTCCTTTTTTTCTTTCCTCCTTCTCCTTCTTTCCTTCTTTCCTTCTTCTCTCTTCCTTTCTTTCTTTCTCTCCTTTCTTTCTTTCTTTTTTCTTTCTTTCTTTCTTTCCTTCCTTCCTTTCCCTTCTTTCCTTTCTTCTCTTCCTCTTCTCTTCCTTCCCCCCCCCCTTTCCTTCCCTTCCTCTTTCTCCCCTTTCTTCCTACTCTACCTATTCTTGGACTGCAACTCCCAGCAGTCCTCCCGATCAATCAATCTATCTACCTGCCTATCTAGCTCTATCTAATCTATCTACCTTATCTATCTGGAGGATTTCTGTCCAGGAATAAGAAATTGGAAATATGCAGGGATTGGGATGTTCTAAAAAAAATCCAAGGAGAAGAAAGCTTGGAGCTTTCTTGTCCAAATTTGGTGTCAATTTGTCCTGTGTTTTTTGAGTTATGTTAATCCCACAAACTAACATTAAATTTTTATTTATGTGTGTGTGTGTGTGTGTGTATGTTCTGGAGAGGTGTTCTCTCTAGTTCAGTGTTTCTCAACCTTCCTAATGTCCAGTTCCTCATGTGGTGTTGACCCCCAAACATAACATTATTTTCATTTCTACTTCATAACTGTAATTTTGCCACTGTTATGAATTGTAATGTAAACATCTGATCTGCAGTATGTATTTCCATTCACTGGACCAAATTTGGCACAAATACCCAATACACCCAAATCGAAGTACTGGTGGGATTTGCAGGGGGATTGATTTTGTCATTTGGGAGTTGTAGTTGCTGGGATTTGTAGTTCACCTACAATCAAAGAGCATTCTGATCTCCACCAACAAGGGAATTGAACCAAACTTGGCGCACACAACTCTCATGACCAACAGAAAATATTGGAAGGGTTTGGGTGGGCATTGACCTTAAGTTTTGGAGTTGTAGTTCACCTACATCCAGAGAGCACTGTGGACTCAAAAAATTATCAATCTGGACCAAACTTGGCACAAATACTCACTATGCCCAAATATGAACACTGGTGAAGTTTGGGGAAAATAGACCTTGTCATTTGGGAGTTGTAGTTGCTGGGATTTATAGTTCACCTACAATCAAATCATTCTGAACCCCACCAACAAGTTACTTTGATAAGGAAAGTGTTCCTAAAGGTCTGCCTGTCTCCCCTTCCTTTCCAGAGGGAGTGCCTGTCCATCCATATTGGCCAAGCTGGGGTCCAGATTGGGAATGCCTGCTGGGAGCTGTACTGCCTAGAACATGGGATCCAAGCGGATGGGACCATCCCGGGGAATCCAGTGGCTCAGAAGATCCTGCCTGAAGCCGAACAGGCAGATGCCTCCTTTGAAACGTTCTTCTGCGAGACGGCGTCTGGGAAGCATGTCCCAAGGGCTGTGTTCATTGATCTGGAACCAACTGTGATCGGTAATGTTATCAACAGTAATCGGTTGCCAAAGTCAACATGTTGTAATGGTTTGAGTGTTGGAGTAGGACTTTGGGAGCTAGCCTTCAAAGCCCTATTCATCCATCCATCCATCCGCTCATTGGCATTAGAAGAAGACATGGATGGAAAATCTAGAACTCAGAGACCAAGTTTGACTCTGTCCTTGGTCCCAAGCAATCAGTTGTCAAAGCCAACATATTGTAGTGGTGTGAGTGTTGGAGTAGGACTTTGGGAGCTAGCCTAGTCATCCATTCATCCACTCATTGATGTTAGAAGAAGACATGGATGGGAAATCTAGAACTCTAGGGGAAAGCCTATCACAAGTTGGACTCTGTTCTTGGTCCCAAGCAATCGGTTGTCAAAGCCAACATATTGTACTGGTTTGAGTGTTGGAGTAGAACTTTGGGAGCTAGCCTTCAAAGCCCTATTCATCCATCCATCCATCCATCCATCCATCCACATGGATGGGAAATCTAGAACTCTAGGTGAAACCCTATCACAAGTTGGACTCTGTTTTTGTTCTCAGCAATCAGTTGCCAAAGCCAACATGTTGTAGTGATCTGAGTGTTGGAGTAGGACTTTGGGAGCTAGCCTTCAAGTCCCTGTTCATCCATCCATCCATCCATCCATCCATCAGCTCATTGGCATGGGAAATCTAGAACTCTAGGAGAAAGCCTATCACATGTTGGACTCTGCTTTTGTTCTCAGCAATCAGTTGCCAAAGCCAACATGTTGTTGTGATCTGAGTGTTGGAGTAGGACTTTGGGAGCTAGCCTTCAAGTCCCTGTTCATCCATCCATCCATCCATCCATCCATCCATCCATCCATCAGCTCATTGGCATTAAAAGATATGGATGGGAAATCTAGAACTCTGGGAGAAAGACTATCACAGGTTGGTCTCTATTCTTGGTTCCAGTAGTCGTCTGAGTGTTGGAGTAGGACTTTGGGAGCTAGCTGTCAAGTTCCTATTAATCCATCCATCCATTCATCAGTTCACTGGTGTTAGAAGAAGACATGGATGGGAAATCTAGAACTCTAGGAGAAAGCCTATCACAGGTTGAACTCTGTTCTTGGTCCCAACAATCAGTTGCCAAAGCCAACATGTTGTACTGATCTGAGTGTTGGAGTAGGACTTTGGGAGCTAGCCTTCAAGTCCCCATCCATCCATCAGTTCATTGGCATTAGAAGAAGACATGGATGGGAAATCTAGAACTCTAGGAAAAAGTCTATCACAAGTTGGACTCTGTTCTTGGTCCCAGCAATCAGTTGCTGAAGCCAACATGTTGTAGTGATTTGAGTGTTGGAGTAGGACCTTTGTAGCTAGCCTTCCAAGTCCCTATTCATCCATCCATCAGTTCATTGGTGTTAGAAGAAGACATGGATGGGAAATCTAGAACTGTAGGAGAAAGCCTATCAGAAGTTGAATTCTGTCCTTGGTCCTAGCAATCAGTTGCTGAAGCCAACATGTTGTAATGATTTGAGTGTTGGAGTAGGACCTTCGTAGCTAGCCTTCCAAGTCTCTCTCCATCCATCTACTCATTGGCATTAGAAGACATGGATGGGAAATCTAGAACTCTAGGAGAAAGCCTATTGGACTCTGTTCTTGGCTCCTGTTCCCAAAATGCTGCAAACTAGAGCTTCTAGAGCAGTGGTTTCCCACATGTTAGCCATCCAGATGTTTTGGACTTCATCTCCCACAACTCCCAACTTTTTGGCCAAATTCACTGGGAGTTGAAGTCCAAAACACCAAAGTTTGAGAACCACTGTTCTAGAGCATGGGGAAAAGGTTGTCTTGGGATTGAACCTGTCTATGGGATTCTGGGAAGGACAGTCCAAAAAGAACAGAGGGATTGCCAAGGCCTATCAAACACTGTAAGCTGTATTTTGGAAGAAGGAATTGGCAAAACCACCTCCAGATATTCCTTGCCCAAGAAAACGCTAGGAAATTCATGGAGTCACCAAGTCTCGGTCTTCTGTAAACACACCCTAACGCATTCTTCATAGGACTAGAATCCCAGAGTTAATATGTTTTGTTTGGAGTGGATAGATCTATTGTGTTAGCATGGGAACAAGTAGGCGGAATTGTATGAAATGTAAATATCAATATATTTTCGTTCTAGTTGAGATACCCCTTTATACCAGGTGGTATTCTTCCACTTACTTACTGACTTAGTTGATCCCTCATTGTCCGAGTAAGATTGTCCTCCAAAGTCAGTGTCCTGGTGGTGGGTACGTAGATGACTGTGGACCCCTATCCTTGATCCGCATGTTCTCCCGCAGTGAGGGCATCAGTTTCCAGGTGGAAGGCGGTCCTGGCCGGGGTTGGCTTGACACACCTTCCTCTTGGCACATTGCTCTCTTTTGCTTTCCCTCATGCCTCTTCAAATTCTGCAGCACTGCTGGTCACAGCTGACCTCCAACTGGAGCGCTCAAGGGCCAGGGCTTCCCAGTTCTCTGTGTCTATGCCACAGTTCTTAAGGTTGGCTTTGAGCCCATCTTTCAATCTCTTTTCCTGTCCACCAACATTACATTTCCTGTTATTGAGTTTGGAGTAGAGTAACTGCTTTTAGAGACGGTGGTCGGGCATCCGAACAACGTGGCCAGTCCAGCGGAGTTGATGGCGGACGAACATCGTTCAGTGCTGGTGGTCTTTGCATCTTCCAGCACGCAGACATTTGTTCACCTGTCTTCCCAAGAGATTTGCAGGATTTTCCGGAGGCAACGCTGATGGAATCGTTTCAGGAGTTGAATGTGACATCTGTAGACAGTCCACGTTTCGTAGGCATAGAGGAGTTGGGAGGACAATGGCTTTATAAACAAGCACCTTGGTCTCCCTACGGATGTCCCGGTCCTCAAACACTCTCTGCTTCATTCGGAAAAATGCTGCACTCGCAGAGCTCAGGCGGTGTTGTATTTCAGTGTCAATATTGACTTTTGTGGAGAGGTGGCTGCCAAGGTAGCGGAAATGGTCAACATTTTCTAATGTTACACCATTAAGCTGTATTTCTGGCATTGGAGAGGGATTGGCTGGTGACTGAGTGAAGAGCACTTTGGTTTTCTCGATGTTCAATGATAGGCCGAGCTTCTCGTATGCTTCTGCGAAGGTGTTTAGAGTGGCTTGTAGGTCTTCTTCTGAATGTGCACAGACGACATTGTCATCAGCATACTGGAGTTCTATAACAGATGTTGTTGTAACCTTGGTTTTGGCTTTCAGTCTGCTGAGGTTGAATAGCTTGCTATCTGTCCGATAGATGATTTCCACTCCGGTGGAACGCTTCCCATCAACAAGATGAAGTATCATAGCGATGAAGATGGAAAATATTGTTGTTCTATTTATATATATATTTAGGCTATATTTTGGTGTGATTTTTGCAGTGATAAATGCTGCAATGAAAGCATTGGTCACTGCAAAAAAAAGTGTTTTTCAGTGACTTGTTTACTTCTCCTTCCAGATGAGATCCGCACAGGACCATATCATTCCCTCTTCCATCCTGAGCAGCTGATCAGCGGCAAGGAAGATGCCGCCAACAATTATGCCCGTGGCCATTATACCATCGGAAAGGAAATCATTGACACGGTCCTGGGCAGGATCCGCAAAATGGCAAGTGAAGGCGGTCAACTTTGTGTCTGTGAGGTCGAGAGAAAGAGGCACACATGCCCTCTAGCAATATTTCGTATTTACCGCAGAGTAGAGTGAAGCTAGCCAGGGCTATCTATATGAGCTTATGGTAGGAAACAGGAGAAAAGATATGCAGGATGCTCTAGTAAGGTTCAAGAATGTTTGAAAATGTTTAAAGAAAGTATTGATAATACATCTCATAAAAGAATACATAAACTATCTATTCTGCTCTGGTTAGGCCACACCTGGAATACTGTGTCCAATTCTGGGCACCACAATTCAAGAGAGATATTGACAAGCTTGAATGTGTCCAGAGGAGGGCCACTAAAATGATCAAGGGTCTGGAGAACAAGCCCTATGAGGAGCGGCTTAAGGAGCTGGGCATGTTTAGCCTGAAGAAGAGAAGGCTGAGAGGAGACATGATAGCCATGTATAAATATGTGAGAGGAAGCCACAGGGAGGAGGGAGCAAGCTTGTTTTCCTTGGACCAGAGAGTAGGATGCAGAACAGTGGCTACAGGAACAGAGATTCCACCTGAACATTAGCAAGAACTTCCCGACTGTGAGAGCCATTCAGCAGTGGAACTCTCTGCCCTGGAGTGTGGTGGAGGCTCCTTCTTTGGAGCTTTTAAACAGAGGCTGGATGGCCATCTGTCAGGGGTGATTTGAATGCAATATTCCTGCTTCTTGGCAGGGGGTTGGACTGGATGATGGCCCATGAGGTCTCTTCCAACTCTTTGATTCTATGATTCTAAGCAAAGTTGCCGAACTTTGGTAGAAAAGTTCCTAGTGGTGATTCTCATGTGTGCTTCTCAACCATCTTGAAGTAGAGAAGCCTCATGATGTTCCCTTCTCAAACAAATACAGATATTGATGGTTCCCAATATGAATCTCAATAGAGATATAGAATAATACAGTTAGTCCTCCATATTTGTGGGTTCAACCTTTGCAGATTGGATTTGATTATTAATACGTTCTACAGATTCTCCAGTGCAACTCTTATGGCCAACTTCTGTTGGAAGTCAACTATAGAGTTACACTGGAGAGCCTGAAGATAGAGAATCATAGAATCATAGAGTTGGAAAGAGACCTCATGGGCCATCCAGTCCAACCCCCTGTCAAGAAGCAGAAAAGTCACATTCAAAGTACCCTCAACAGTTGGCCATCCAGCCTCTGTTGAAAGCCTCCAAAGAAGAAGCCTCCACCACACCTGCTTTTTGATAGGTCCTCCCTATGTGAATCTATGGGATTCTATGATATGCTGTGGTGAAAGCATACCATAGAATCATCTGGAGAACCTAGCAAATTCCTAAAGAGACAATGATAATGGTACACATTCTGAGCTCTTCTATTATTTGTTTTCAACAAACCTTACCAATTTGAAGATGTAAATCCTGATAATTATCCACCTGGCCAATGTAATCAAAATGAGGCTTTAATGGTTCACAACTCTTTTGGAACTCACTTCCCACACCCTACCACCATAAAAATATATCAAATATGCCTTTGTCCTAAATTCTCTGTAGAACTTTGTGCATACACATGTCATCAAAACACTGTCTACAGTGATGTCCAGAAGTGTCCAACCTTTCATCCTCCAGTTGTTTTGGATTTCAACTCCAAGAACATTGGACAAACTGACCAGGGCTTCTGGGAATTGGAGCCTCAAAAACCTGGAGGACCACAAGTTGAACACACTGGTGTAGACAAAACAAAGTTCCAAAACTTTGGTCCTCCAAAAGTTTTGGACTTCAACTCCTAACCATTGACAAACTGGATAGGACTTCTGGGAGTTGGAGTCCCAAATACTAGGAGGAGGAACAAATATTGGACACACTGGTGGAGACAAAACAAAGTTCTGCTCCCAGAATTCCTAACCATTGGACGAACTGGATAGGACTTCTGAGAGCTGGAGTCCCAAATACTAGGAAGAGGAACAGATATTGGACACACTGGTGTAGACAAAACAAAGTTCCAAAACTTTGGTCCTCCAGGTGTTTTGGACTTTAACTCTTAGAATTCCTAACCATTGGACAAGCTGAATAGGACTTCTGGGAGTTGGAGTCCCAAACACTAGGAGGAGGAACACATATTGGACACACTGGTGGAGAGAAAACAAAGTTCTTCCAGAATTCCTAACCATTGGACAAGCTGGATAGGACTTCTGGGAGGTGGAGTCCCAAATACTAGGAGGAGGAACAAATATTGGACACACTGGTGTAGACAAAACAAAGTTGAGCTCCCAGAATTCCTAACCATTGGATAAACTTGATAGGACTTCTGGGAGTTGGAGTCCCAAATACTAGGAGGAGGAACAAATATTGGACACACTGATGTAGACAAAACAAAGTTGAGCTCCCAGAATTCCTAACCACTGGACAAACTGGATAGGACTTCTGGGAGTTGGAGTCCCAAATACTAGGAAGAGGAACAAATATTGGACACACTAGTGTAGACAAAACAAGGTTCAGCTCCCAAAATTCCTAACCATTGGACAAACCGGATAGGACTTCTGGGAGTTGGAGTCCCAAACACTAGGAGGAGGAACAAATATTGGACACACTGGTGGAGACAAAACAAAGTTCTGCTCCCAGAATTCCTAACCATTGGACAAGCTGGATAGGACTTCTGGGTGTTGGAGCCACAAACACCTAGAGGACCAAAGTTTGGTAACCACTGCCACAAACAGCCCTATGGATAGCTTCCAAAAGAGGCTATCCATCTTTGTCTAATAATCCATGGATGGAAACTATGTGGACTTCAAGTTGAAGATGGGCTGCATCCTCTGTAATTCCTCACCATTGATTGTACTGGGTTAAGGCTGCTGGTCAATGTCGTCCCACAAATCTGGAAGACCACACCATTCCCACCGCTGAGTTAACCCAATTGTTGGAATGACATCAATAACCCGATTTTTCTTCCCAATGCAGGCCGACCAGTGCTGTGGCCTTCAAGGCTTCTTGGTCTTCCACAGCTTTGGGGGAGGCACAGGGTCAGGTTTCACCTCTCTTCTGATGGAGCGTCTCTCGGTCGAATACAGCAAGAAGTCCAAGCTGGAGTTCTCAGTCTACCCTGCCCCACAGGTCTCCACTGCGGTGGTAGAACCTTACAACTCCATCCTGACCACCCACACCACCTTGGAGCACTCGGACTGCTCGTTCATGGTGGACAACGAGGCCATCTACGACATCTGCAACCGCAACCTCGACATCGAGCGCCCAACCTACACCAACCTCAACCGGCTGATCGGGCAGATCGTGTCCTCTGTGACCGCTTCCTTGAGGTTCAAAGGTGCCCTGAATGTTGACCTGATAGAATTCCAGACCAACCTGGTGCCCTATCCTCGCATTCACTTCCCTTTGACCACTTACGCGCCCATCATCTCCGCCGAGAAGGCCTACCACGAGCAGCTCTCAGTGCCGGAAATCACCAGCGCTTGCTTCGAGTTCTCCAACCAGATGGTGAAGTGTGACCCTCGGCGGGGCAAATACATGGCCTGTTGCCTTCTCTACCGAGGCGACGTGGTGCCCAAGGATGTCAACGCTGCCATTGCCGCCATCAAGACAAGGAGGTCCATCCAGTTCGTTGACTGGTGCCCAACCGGCTTCAAGGTGGGCATCAACTACCAGCCACCAACAGTGGTTCCCGGAGGAGACGTGGCGAAGGTCCAGCGTGCCGTCTGCATGCTGAGCAACACGACGGCCATCGCCGAAGCCTGGGCCCGGCTGGACCACAAGTTTGACCTGATGTACGCCAAGAGGGCCTTTGTCCACTGGTACGTCGGGGAGGGCATGGAGGAAGGGGAGTTCTCCGAAGCCCGGGAGGATCTGGCGGCCTTGGAGAAGGATTACGAGGAAGTCGGGAGAGATTCCGCCGACGGAGAGGAAGAAGATGCCGAGGAAGAATATTAGAGCCCAACGAGTGTCTGTGTGCCAGAGTTTGCATTTAGCCGACATAAGGTGGAGAGAGGTAAACCATACCATTCTCTCTCTCAAAAAAAATTAAGTATTACTTGTTTATTGTGATTCTAATTCCAATGTTTTTTTAAAAAAATCTTATATTAGACTTTTCTAATGTATGGACTGTTAACACACTGAGCTTTCTGTAGAATGCACTTCTTGTAGTAATCCTTTTTGTAATCCTTTCCTAACGCTGTATTATTGTTGCATATAGCAAAACAACCAAGACAACGAACTAATAGAACCATTCAGTCAGGACTCAATTACAACTTCATGTCAATCGCGTCAACAGAAAGGAAAACTTTATTTGTCAATCAACATCCCTCCTTATGTTGACATTTGCTCTCTGCAGTGATTCTACAATTGACTTTGTTGCTAAATGGGATCCAAACATCCTCTATGTATGTCTTTGTTTGCTGTCCCTGTATGGTAATTTTTCTATTAAAAGAAGTATCCACAGCCCTTTTCTCCAATTTTCTATAGAAAATTCAACGATGTTTTTTTCCAGCTGCATGCAAATTCCTTTGTGGATACGAGTCAATAAGAAGTAATCAGATCTTTGTGTTTTAAACATTGATCCTTAGCAAAGAAGCAAGAGTAAATGTATAGCTGAAGAGGTTATCACAATATGACGATATTACTTATCTCATCCAATTTTTTTGCCACTATCTAACTCTGCACAGGCAATCCCATCACATGTCCAGGTAAGTCCCTAAATATTAATGCATTTTCCAGCATCTAACATGGATTAGTGTGTTATTTATTTATTTACAACATTTCTACCCCACCCTTCTCAATCCCCAAAGAGGGGCTCAAAGCAGCTAACACCGGCAACAATTCAATGCCGCAATATCACAATATAAATCAATATAAAACCATAAATACACAATAGATTAAAAACAATCATATTAATTATACAGTCATAGCGTGCCGGCTTTAGGATAGGTGACCGGGACAGGATAGGGATTCTGTTGGTATACCGACCACCCCGCTGCACGACAGTCTCATTACCTGAGCTAGCAGGAATGGTCCCGGACCTAGCATTGAGCTTCCAACGGCTTCTAGTCCTGGGAGATTTCAATGTCCATGCTGAGACCTCTCTCTCAGGTGCGGCTCAGGACTTCATGGCCACCATGGCAACCATGGGCCTGTCCCAATTAGTATCTGGTCCCACCCATAGTGCCGGGCACGCACTGGATTTGGTTTTTTCCCAGAGATGGGGTGAAGGTGACGGGGTGGAGGAGCTGACCATCATTCCATTGCCATGGACCGATTACCACCTGATCAGGTTTAGACTTACCGTGCCTCCTAACCTCTGCAGGGGTGGTGGACCCATTAGAATGGTCCGCCCCAAGAGACTTATGGATCCAAATGGCTTCCTGACGGCTCTTGGGGAATTTCCCACCTCCTTGGCTGGTGACTGTCGATGCTTTGGTCTCTCACTGGGACAGTAAGATGACTAGGGCAATTGATACAATTGCTCTGGAACGCCCCCTCTCGAGTAACCGAGCTAAACCAGCCCCTTGGTTTACTGAGGAGCTGGCAGCGATGAAGCAAAATAAGAGGAGGCTAGAGTGCGTGTGGCGCCAGAGACCTACCAAATCAGCCCAAACACATCTGAATGCCTTTTTAAGGTCCTACGATGTGGCAATAGCAGCGGCACAGAAATCATTTCTTGCAGCCAATATTGCATCTGTGAAGAATTGTCCAGCTGAGCTATTCTGAGTTCTCAGGGGTCTGTTAAATCCGCCGAAAAGCAAGATCCCGGATGACTCGGGGGCTCGCTGTGAAGCATTTGCTCGATTCTTCGCAGATAAAGTTGTGTTGATTCGGTCGGATTTCAACACCATATTAACAGCGGTCTCTGAGAATGTAGCACGAGCATCTGCTTGTCCGGTTTTATTGGATTCATTTCAATTGGTTCAGCTTGAGGATGTGGACAGGATCCTTGGGGAAGTGAGACCTACCACATGCATCCTAGACCCCTGTCCATCCTGGCTGATAAAAGAAGCCAGAGGGGGCTTGGCAGAGTGGGTGAAGGTGGTGGTTAATGCCTCCTTACAGGAGGGAAAGTTTCCAGCGAGCTTAAAACAAGCTATCATAAAACCGCTGTTGAAAAAGCAGTTGACATAGTAGGGGGTGGTGCGCTCCCTGTATGATGCTCCGGTGAGCAATCTGGCTGCTGCCCATTGGACTAGTTGAAGCTTCCAAACAGTCTTCAAAGGCAACCCCGCATAGAGCGCGTTGCAGTAATCTATTCGGGATGTAACAGCATGATCATAACACTTGAATAACACTTTATTTATATTCTGTGGCTATCTTTATGTTTTATGTTTTGGACTATTAAAACAGCCAGAAAGTAAGTGCTGTTTTAATTAAATTGTTTAACACAAACTGGGGGTTTGGTTCATCTCTGCCTAAATATTGGCAGAGCCCTAGCATTGTGACAGTTGCTGTACATTTTTTGGATGGTATGGCCATGTTCCAGCAGCGTTCTCTCCTGACATTTCACCTGCATCTGTGGCTAGTGGTATCGTCAGAGATTCTGTTGCTACTGAGACACGTGGAGTATATATACAGTGTTCGCTCACTTAGCCCTCCTTGCCTTTTGCTTCACCAGGTGAAGAGAGAGAGACGGCGGTAAAAAAAATCCGCGAAACAGCAAAAATACCACGATATATATTTTCAATTAATATTTATTTAAAAACCGCAAAACAGCGAGTCCACTAAAAGCGAACCATGAAGTAGCGAGTACGCCTATGGAATGACCAGAGTGGGAGAAAGAACTTGGTTAGTTGCAACGTTCTTACTTACTTACTTAGGCGATCCCTTGTAGTCCAAGGATGATGGTCCTCCAAGTTGGGTGTACTGGAGGTGGGTCCATAGGTGACTGTGGAGCCCTATTCTTGATCTACATCTTCTCCCGCAGTGAGGGCATCAGTTTCCAGGTGGAAAGGGGTCCCGTTCGGGGTTGGCCTTCCTCTTGGCATGTTTCTCTCTTTCACCCTCCATTTGTGCCTCTTCAAATTCTGCAGCACTGCTGGTCACAGCTGACCTCCAGCTGGAGCGCTCAAGGGCCAGGGCTTCCCAGTTCTCAGTGTCTATGCCAGAGTTTTTAAGGTTGGCTTTGAGCCCATCTTTCAATCTCTTTTCCTGTCCACCAACATTCCGTTTTCCGTTCTTGAGTTTGGAGTAGAGCAACTGCTTTGGGAGACGGTGGTCAGGCATCCGGACAACGTGGCCGGTCCAGCGGAGTTGATGGCGGAGGACCATTGCTTTGGGAGATGGTGGTCGGGCATCCGGACAACGTGGCCAGTCCAGCGGAGTTGAAACAACATTCACACTTGCTTCAAACAGATCCTCCCACCCGGGACATTATTCCATAGGGATATATACACTCCACTTGCTTCGCCTCCAACAGACCTCTGAAGATGCCACTCGCCACAGATGCAGGTGAAACGTCAGGAGAGAATGCTGCTGGAAAATGGCCAGAAAGCCCGGAAAACTCATAGCAACCCATTTTCTAGTGTTACACCATTAAGCTGTATTTCTGGCATTGTGGAGGGATTGGTTGGAGCCTTCTGGTGTTAAAAGAATATTTTAGTTTTCTTGATGTTCAGTGAGAGGCCAAGTTCCCCACAGGCTTCTGCAAAGATGTTATGCAACACTATTTTCAAGCTGCTGATGGTTGACTCCATGGATACGGAGAGGTGACTGTATTCAGGGAGTTATCATGAAAATGCAAAAAGTGCATTACATTAAGTAAACCTCGGGATTGTTATGCTTTTGCGCAAGCATTTTTCTTTCCCTGGCTTGATCTGTTGAATCCGTGTCCTGGAAACAATAGCCATGTTTATTGGCAACAGCCATTCTGAGTGCCAGGACAGTATAAATAGACAGCCAAGTTCATTTTAGGAAATCCTGGATTTGTGTAAACTTAACCTGGAGAGTAACTTACTTACTTAGGCGATCCCTCGTTGCCTGAGTAGAATTGTCTTCCAAGATCAGTGTCCTGGCGGTGTGGAGCCCGATTCTTGACCCGCATCTTCTCCCGCAATGAGGGTGAAAGGGTCTTTGAGTGAAATTTGCAAATGCTAAGCAAGGGGCTTTGAATGAAATTAACAACCAAAGAGAAATATACCCTTTCTCTGTAGAAAAGGAGCAACACGGAAGAAAATGTTTTAAAAACAAGAGGCATCTTGTAGAGGTCATACAAAGTTCAAGCTTACATAGAAAGTTGGGTTGCGGTTAAGTGCAAAGGTTGTGGTTAAGTGCAGAGTCTGCAGGTACAAGACGGTACTTTCGATCAAAAGGTCAAGGGAGGGGGGCTGGAAAGAGAGTACTTTCCATGACCAAAAATCCTTTGTATTACTTGAGTATATAATGGTGTACAAAAGCCAAGGGAGCGCGGCAGTCTGTTAAAGCACAAACAGAAGTGCTGTCTGTCCGTCTCATGTTGATCAGCTTGAATAAATGGGGTCTTACATGAACCAATTGGACTCTGTGGATTTCTTCGAACCCTAAACCCGTGATCCCTTACAAGGGCATTGGTTTCCAGGAGGAAGGCAGTAGCAGTTGAGGTTGGCTTGATGTACCTTCCTCTTGGCACGTTTCTCCCTTTCGCCCTCCATTCGTGCCTCTTCAAATTCTACAGCACTGCTGGTCACAGCTGACCTCCAGCTGGAGCGCTCAAGGGCCAGGGCTTCCCAGTTCTCAGTGTCTATGCCAGAGTTTTTAAGGTTGGCTTTGAGCCCATCTTTAAATCTCTTTTCCTGTCCCACAACATTCTGTTTTCCGTTCTTGAGTTCGGAGTAGAGCAACGGCTTTGGAAGATGTTTCAGTGTCAATGTTGACTTTTGTGGAGAGGTGGCTGCCAAGGGAGCGGAAATGGTCCACATTTTCTAATAGTGCTTGGTAATACTGGGAGTTTCATGGAATGAAGAAAAGATCATGGAAGGCCTTGTAAATCTGCAATTCCCAGCATTCTGCAGCATTGAACTGGGTCAGTTTGAAGTGGTATCAAACTGTGTTAATTCCACAGTGTAGATGCACCATTAACTGTAATTTAGACTGCAAAAAAGAAGTGATGCCAAGGATTAAATGGTTGCCTTCAAGAGTTGTGGATAATCTGGACTGCAGCTCCCATGATGTTCGCCAATTGGTCATGGAAGGCCTTGTAAATCTGCAATTCCCAGCATTCCACAGCATTGAACTGGGGCAGCTTAAAGTGGTATCAAACTGTGTTAATTCCACAGTGTAGATGCACCATTAATTGTAATTTGGACTCCAAAAAAGAAGTGATGCCAAGGGTTAAGTGTTTACCTTGAAGAGTTGTGGATAATCTGAACTGCAACTCCCATGATCCATGCTGGATGGGGATGATGGGAGATACAACCTCCAGTCATTGCTGGAGGGTCACAAGCTTCCCCATTGACCGCCTTATTGATTCCCTAGAATCAATAAACAGAAGGAGTGTTAATATATGCTGCGGCCCCTTTAAATCAGGCTGGTTGCATCCTTGTGGGCGGGGCTAAAAAGAAGGGAAAAGGGGCGGGCCATACGCAAATCAAGACTGACCTACTGTTATTTCTCCTTCCCTTCCGCGTGGGCGTGGCTACAAAGGAAGGGGGCGTGTCGTATGCAAATACAGCATTTTTCCAGGCTGATGTCAGCAGTTGAGATGTTGAGTGGGCGTGGCTCTGAAGTCTTGAGTGACAGCGCCTTCTAGCCAATGGAAGCGTGCATCCAGTCAGAGGGCGGGACTTCCTTCCCGGATTTGTGAGCGGTGGAAGCTCGAACTCGGCGGCCAGAAGCCGAGCCGGCCGCCGCCATGATCAAGAAGTTCGACAAGAAGGATGAGGAGTCGGGTAAGAGGCGGGCTGGAAGGGCTGGCGTCGCTAAGGTGGCCAAGCCTGTCGAGTTAGGCCCCGTTGCTAGGCAGATTGGCAGGCCCCTTGGGAGAAAGGGCAGGAGACCCCGTACATAAAGAGGAACTTAGGCCTCAAGCCACGCCCCAGGACTGTAGCCACGCCCCCAGGGGCGTGTCTTCGGAGGAGAGCATGAAAGAGGCGTGTCCTGCTTGTCCTTAAGTAATAATAATAATAATAATAATAATGTGTGATAATATATGTAATAATATTTTTGGAAAGGCAAGTCCTGCTATTATAGTAGGAATAATAGTAATATAACTATATATATATATATGTAATATATCATTTACTATGTATATTAATATAATATAAATAGTATATAATAATAATAATAATAATGTGTGATAATATATGTAATAATGTTTTTGGAAAGGCAAGTCCGGCTATTATAGTAGGAATTATATATATATATATATATATATATATATAATATACTATGTATATTAATATAATATAAATAGTATATAATAATAATAATAACAATAATAATATAACGTGTGATCCAGTGCAACAGCCAGCAGAATGATCTTGTTTGCTGTGGACTCGTCTTGCTGTTTTTCAAATAATAATCGTATATAATGATATGTAATTAATAATATATTAGGAAGACCTATTGTGCAGGTACAACTGTACCAGGAGCTCCAATTTTGTTTGCTTTGCATTGAATGTTTGTTGTAGTCCTAAGTTTCAGGGACTCTGCAGATAGGTGGCTTCTTTTGGCTGCAATCATAGGGCAAGCCACCTGTCAATTATAGTTAGGTTCTCTGGTCCCGCCCCTTTTTGGGTTTTTGGGGGGAATGGGAGCCTTTTTGGGTTCAGTCCACACAGAGAAGCCTTTCATGCAGGACATAATACCAAGAGCTCCTGTAGAAAGCTTCGTCTTCTACAGCTTGGCTGGGGAGATATACAGCCTACAGCCTGACCGGGGTTGTACAGCCTTACAGCTCCTTTGCTGAAGGACTTCAGTCAGCCATCACTGAAACCTGAACACCTTCTTTTCCCCTGGAAGTCTACAAAGATTTGCTTGGTAAGGGTCACTCGCGGAAGCCAGAAGCAGTTGGTACCGGGTGCAGGGGCTCCACGCCAACAGAGGCAAAGACAGACTGCCCAGATTAGAAGTTAAGGATTTCCCCATTAGTTAGTATACAGTTATGAAGATAGTGCCTGTTCCCCGTGGACAAGATTGAGAGAGAGCCAATAGACTGTTAAGAAAGCCTTAAAGTACCTGTTTGTTTTCAATAATAAAGAACTTTGTTGAACCTTTAAGCAATCTAAAGACTCTGTTTTAAGGAAATCCAAGGGCCTTTAATCTGAGGCAGCCCTGGCATCTCGTTGGGCACACAGAATTTATTTCCTGTCTACAGTCTTATGCACAGGCCCAGCCTGCGACAGCACACCTATAGTATGATAATATATATAATAATATATTGTTGTTGTTCATTCGTCCAGTCGTCTCCGACTCTTCGTGACCTCATGGACCAGCCCACGCCAGAGCTCCCTGTCGGCCGTCACCACCCCCAGCTCCTTCAAGGTCAGTCCAGTCACTTCAAGGATGCCATCCATCCATCTTGCCCTTGGTCGGCCCCTCTTCCTTTTGCCTTCCACTTTCCCCAGCATAATTGTCTTCTCTAGGCTTTGCTGTCTCCTCATGATGTGGCGAAAGTACTTCAACTTTGTCTCTAGTATCCTTCCCTCCAGTGAGCAGTCGGGCTTTATTTCCTGGAGGATGGACTGGTTGGATCTTCTCGCAGTCCAAGGCACTCTCAGAACTTTCCTCCAACACCACAGCTCAAAAGCATCTCTCTTCCTTCGCTCAGCCTTCCCTAAGGTCCAGCTCTCACATCCGTAGGTGACTACAGGGAATAATACCATGGCTTTGACTAGGCAATGGATCTTTGTTGCCAGTCTGATGTCTCTACTCTTTACTATTTTATCGAGACTGGACATTGCTCTCCTCCCAAGAAGTAAGCGTCTTCTGATTTCCTGGCCACAGTCTGCATCTGCAGTAATCCTTGCGCCTAGAAATACAAAGTCTGTCATGGCCTCCACGTTTTCTCCCTCTATTTCCCAGTTGTCAATCATTCTTGTTGCCATAATCTTGGCTTTTTTATGTTTAGCTACAACCCAGCTTTTGCGCTTTCTTCTTTCACCTTGATTAGTCTCATGATGTGTTCTGCATACACGTTAAAAAGGTTGGGTGAGAGTATGCAGCCTTGCCGTACGCCTTTCCCAATCTTGAACCAGTCTGTTGTTCCGTGGTCAGTTCTGACTGTTGCTACTTGGTCCTTGTACAGATTCCTCAGGAGAGAGGAAGGGGGCTTGGGATGCCCAGACCACCAAGAACTTGCCACAATTTATGATGATCCACACAGTCAAAGGCTTTAGAATAGTCAATGAAGCAGAAATAGATGTTTTTCTGAAACTCCCTGCCTTTCTCCATTCTCCAGCATCCGGATATTGGCAATCTGGTCTCTCGTTCCTCTGCCTTTTCTAAACCCAGCTTGAACATCTGGCAACTCTCGCTCCATGTATTGCTGGAGTCTTCCTTGCAGGATCTTGAGCATTACCTTACTGGCTTGAGAAATAAGGGCCACTGTACGGCAGTCTTTCACATAGTATATGTATGTATATAATATATTACATGCATATACTAAATATGTATGTATACATATACATATATAGTATATTATGTAATACATATACTATATATGTATATATGTATATGTATCCATATATAGTATATGTATACATATACATATATAGTATATTTATTTATTTACATCATTTATATCCCGCCCATATCAGCCCGCAGGCGACTCAGGGCGGTCTACATATCGGCACAATTCGATGCCATCAATACAATACAACAGCAAAAACAATTAAGTGCATTTAGACAAAAAGGACAGTGCAATAACAATTTAAAAAGAGCTATATCTTTCATTCCAATCCTCATCCGTTTCGTCGTCTTGGCCGTTCCTGGGTCATTCTCCATCTCAAGCTTGACTATTCTGGGGTTCCGAATGCCTGCTCGAAGAGCCAGGTTTTCACTCTCTAACGAAAGGTCAGGAGGGAGGGGGCTGATCTAATATCCCTAGGCAGGGAGTGCCACAGCCGAGGGGCCACCACAGAGAAGGCCCTGTCTCTCTTGCGAAGCAGACGGGATCGAAAGCAGGGCCTCCTCAGATGATCTTAACTTCCTGGAGGGTTCGTAGGAAGAGATGCGTTCGGAAAGGTAGGGTGGGCCAAAACCGTTTAGGGCTTTAAAGGCTAAAGCCAGCACTTTGAAGTGTGTCCGGTAGCAAATTGGCAGCCAGTGGAGCTGGCACAACAGAGGAGTTGTATGCTCCCTGAGTGCCGCTCCTGTTAGCATCCTGGCTGCTGATCGTTGGACCATTTGAAGCTTCCAAGCAGTCTTCAGAGGCAACCCCAAGTAGAGAGCGTTGCAGTAGTCTATAGGGATGTAACCAGTGCGTGGACTACCGTGGCCAAGTCAGACTTCCCAAGGTACGGGCGCAGCTGGCACACAAGTTTTAATTGTGCAAATGCTCCCCTGGTCACCGCCGAAACCTGGGGTTCCAGGCTCAGCGATGAATCCAGGATCACACCCAAGCTGCGAACCTGCGACTTCAGGGGGAGTATAACCCCATCTAACATGTATGTAATACATATACTATATATGTATATATACATATATTTATTTATTTATTTATTTATTTGGTGCATTTATTGACCGCCGCTCTCAGCCCTAGGGCGACTCGCGGCGGTGTACAGCATATAAAAACAGTTTACAAAAACAGAAACAAGCAATCCACACAACAATAATACACAATACTATAAGTTACACTAAATAATCCGCTCCGTCATATCATAGAATCATATCCAATATCGTAGTCCATATTCCGTTCCAGATGTCAATTACCAGTTGCCGTAATATTCAGTTAAATGCCTTCTCGAAAAGCCAGGTCTTTAGGCTCCTGCGGAAGGACAAAAGGGAGGGCGCCTGTCTGATGTCAACAGGGAGGTCGTTCCACATTTATATTTATATATTTACATTTATAGTATGTGTATGTAATACATATACTATATATGTATATATACATATATACACACATATATAGTAGTAGTAGTAGTAATAATAATAATAATAATAATAATAATAATAATTTGTAATAATAATATATTAGGATGGCCAATAGTAAGAGTATGGTAACGATAATAATTTGAGATAATAGTATATATGATACTATATTAGGAAATCCAATAGTAGGACTAATAATAATAATAATAATAATTTGTAATAATATATATAATAATATATTGGGAATGCCAATAGTAGGACTAGTAATAATAATTTGTAATAATAATAATATACCCCTTCCAGATAGGGATGCCATCTCCACTCCATCACCTTTTACACTGTTGAATTACAATGCCCATAATACATACCTTTCAATGATGCTTCAGTAGAGACAGAACAACCAGCGAATGGTTTTGAGATTTCCCACTTTCCAATTTCTGACCTTAGGAATTGTGGGAGTTGAAGTCCAAAACACCTGGAGGGCCCAGGTTTGCCCCTGCCTACTGTGGAGCCAGGCCGGAAGATGTGTGGCTCCTTTTATGGGGATATTAGCCAACGATTCTCCTCCATCTCTATTTACTGCCAGATAATGATGTGCTTCTTTCTCTTCTTCCTCAGGGAGCGGCTCCAACCCCTTCCAACATCTGGAGAAGAGCGCCATCCTTCAGGAGGTGAGGCTGGGCCCTTTCTTTGCATCTCAGAAGTACAGGATGTGCATCCTCCAACTCTGCCTGCATTTCCTGCATTATTTTTGTCCATCTCCCCATAGGCTCGGATCTTTAACGAGACCCCCATCAACCCACGGAGATGCCTGCACATCCTGACCAAGATCCTTTACTTGCTGAACCAGGTAAACCTCTTTTGCTTCCCAGTTTGTTTTGTAAGGGGGGCAATTCGAGAAGGAGTGATTAATCGTGAATGTTTTGCATTTCCTGGCAACAAAGATCCGCCTAGTCAAAGCCATGGTATTTCCTGTAGTAACCTATGGATGTGAGAGCTGGACCGTATTGTCACTGCTCAATTCCTTCTCTTTTCCCATTCACTATCAACCAAGTAAATTTATATCATAAATGTTTGCTGAGGAAAGACACCAATTGCAGGCATAGACTGAAGTGAAACACCTCCCTTCTATTTGTATGTCTTCAAGTGATGTATTGTTCTATGGCAGGGGTCCCCAAACTACGGCCCGCGGGCCACTTCCGGCCCGCCAAGGGCACTTATCCAGCCCGCAGAGGAGGAGCGCCCCCCCCCCCACAGTGCCCCTCCCTTGGCTGGCTCATGCTATCCATCAGGCCCGATGGGCAGTGTGAGCCAGCTGCTCCTCCCTTGGCGGGCTCATGCTGCCCATCAGGCCATCGTGAAAGTAGGCCGTGCAGTGCTGCTCCTCCCTTGGCAGGCTCACGCTGCCCATCAAGGAGGCTGCCCCGGCGCTCCATGCAGTCATGCCAGCCACATGACCTTGGCGGTGTCTACGGACAATGCTGGCTCTTCGACTTAGAAATGCAGATGAGCACCACACCCCAGAGTCAGACACGACTGGACTTCATGTCAGAGGAAAACCTTTAACTAGGAAAATTGTGGAAGATCCAGGGTGGGAGAAAGAACTCTTGTCTGTTGGAGGTAGGTATGAATGTTTCAATTGGCCACCTTGATTACCATTTCATAGCCTGACAGTTTTTAGGGAGAGGTGATTAGCTGGCCCTGATTGTTTCTTGTCTGGAGTTCCCCTGTGTTTGAGTGTTGTTCTTTATTTACACTTATCATTTTAGAGTTTTTTTTAATACTGGTAGCCAGATTTTGTTCAGACTAGAAATAGGAAGATTTACCATTCTCTGCTCCTGGAATTACTGCCTAAAGAGGGCTAGAAAGAACCCCCTCTAAGGGCCCTTCCACATAGCAAAATAGGATATGTGCAATGTGCATAGGAATTTTTTAATTGATTTTTTTTAAAAAAAACTATAGTCCGGCCCTCCAACGGCCTGAGGGACAGTGAACTGGCCCTCGGTTTAAAAAGTTTGAGGACCCCTGCTCTATGGCAACCACATGAAATTCATAAGGTTTTCTTAGGAAAGGATTGCAAAGAAATGATTTGCCAATCCCTTCCTGTGAAATATAGCCTACAGTACCTTGGATTTGTTGGCAGTTTCCCATCAAAGTACTAACCAAGGGGTGACATGCTTAGCTTTCAAGATAAGGCAGGACCAGTGCTTTTTTGCAAAAGGTAGCATCTTCCATTCCTAGACAGACCCATCAATTCCACTGAATTTAGAAAGGCTAGGAAAATAGGTTATCCTTTATCTTCACCAGAATCAGGCACATATTGTCCGACTTTAATTATTGAGTTATAACTCACATCAGGCCTAGCTAACACAGCTAATGGTGAGGAATGCTGGAAGATTTGTTTCAAAACCACTTGAAGTTCCACAGGTGCCCATCCCTGACCTTGTTGCTGTGTGCCTTGAAGTTATTACCCATAATGTCTGGGAATCGCCAGAAGGCTAAACGGAGGGCTGCACAAACACAACAAGGACCAAGTAC